GTCCGGCAATTGAAGAAAAAAGTTGTAGAATTGAAGCCGACTAAAAGTACTTTCATAAATTGAATTTTTCTTTATTTGTAAATTGATTTGCCTTATTTTGTGGCTTGTTTTTTTTTAAATTATAAAAGTCGAAATGTTCTTTGAAATATCATTTCGAAAAAGCGAAAAAGTTCAAATTATGACAGTACTTTTAGTCGGCTTCAGTCCTACAACTTTGTCTTTCAATGGCTGCACCTTATGCTATTTTCAGACGCTGATAAGTTAATCAAATTCAGCAACAAATTGCTTCATACCTCGATAACTAATTGATATTTCAAATATACAGTTGAAAGTATCTCGATTTTAAATAGTCTTTTTCCCTATGACAATCGAATCATTTTGTTCATAGTAAAATATAATCGTGATTTTTCGCCTAAATTGTTTTTTTTCTTTTCAATGGGTAACAATTTTCCGATGATGTATCTCGATCACCAAAACCATTGTAACTTTTACCTTTATCATCGGCATCATCATCATTATCCAAATCTTCGATTGAACGATTATTGTCATCATCATTATCATCATCAGGATTATAATTTTGTTGATAATCAATGAAATCATCTGTATCCCAGTGATCTTGACCGAAATCATTAGTTGCCACCTTTCGAATTGTCCAAACATCGAAGCAGTAATCATTATTTGTCATGTAATCGTATGGAATGTAACAATAACCTTTATCTCCCTACAAAAAAAAACAAATACGTTGTGAGGTATTTAGAAATGACAATTAATATCCCACCCAATCTTCTCCCCATGAATTTCGAACAATAAATGCTTGTGATTGATCACTATAGCCGACGGCTAATAGAGCATGACTAAAAATATTAGATTAAAAAAAATCTATTTATGTTCAGTATTTGATACGAGACGAGACACAGACTTTCCGTGTGATTGTCGACTACGATCAGTTGCACTTGGCATAGGTACAACACCGGTGTTAGTAGCTTGATCGAACGATGCAAACAGTTTTAAACCGAATGCAAATGGAAAACCTTGCGCTAAACATGATTTCATTTCGTATAAATCAATATTGACTTGTAAAGCTTCAGTGATCTTATGATCCTTTGCTGCTTCATATGCCTCGTTATTTGGAGGCCTGTTTACCATTTTAATATCGTATGGCCAAATTGACTCGAGACAAATACCGAATTCTTCGAGTGCTTCAATCACATCTGTCATTGAACATCCTGAATCGGTCACATTGAAATCATTGCCACCTTTGACACGACCATTGTAATAGATAAATAAACGGCTAACATCAGTATTGTGGCCATTCTTTTTCTTAGTCAAATATTCATATGCTCCTAAAAATAAATAGAAATTTTTAAGCGATTGAAAATAAACATAATTATTTTACCAGCGAGACAGTTCGCCGTACTGATTGCAAGAAAATAAAAAGTGAAATTTCGTTCGAGAAATAAATAATACAAAGAAAAAAGAAACATTTCTTACCAACTACCAATTCTTGATTGATCTTCAACCGGTGTCATATCGTGTCGAAGATCAGCCTTGGGAGGTAACTCATTAGCATTGTAGATGAGATGATCCGAAAATACTTGACATAGCCATTGTTTATTCGGCAAATGCGTCGAAGGTAAAATACCGTTGAGACGAAACTTTCTATTTTTGTATCGATTGATCAAAAATTTCTTTAACGACATCTTGCTCAATTGAACGTTTTGATTTGGTAAACAAGAAATATATTAAAAAAACTCAATGTTGCTCACAACTCTTTTCTATCGGTGCAACGTTCTACACGATTTACTTCTACTTAAAAACCATTAAACAGCAAGAAAAAAATGAGACATTTCTCTTTCTTTTTTTTTCTCTCTCCTGAAATGTTTAATTGTCAATGCTGGGCGGGTTCCAAGCGACCGTCTCGTGCTTTTTTTCCTTTGTTTCTTCGTATCCTTTGTCTATCGTCAATTCTTATTTTTGTTTACCACTACTAGT